CAGGCCAACTAGTTTCAGCCATGTGAGGCCCAAGTCGTGTGAACGAAGCATTGTCGAACAGGAGGTGAACCAAGAAGGGAGGGGGTTGGAGGAGCCACAGCAGAAGTCATGCCCCTCCTCTTTTTAGCCCCACCCCTCTCACCCCCTGCACCGGAATCTACGATAGACAATGATGAAGCCTTCCTTTTCTTTCCAGAAACGGACTCCTCTTCGCGCACGTCACTGGGACGAATAGGATCTGGAGAATGGGGAGGAGATCCGGGTAGGGAGGGTGGAGGAGATCCGCGCAGGGAGGGTGGAGGAGATCCATGGGCAGAGAGCGGGGAAGCAGGGCGCAAAGGTACTGGGGTAGAAGGGCGTGGTGCAGAGTTGAGAGGGGCCGCAGCAGCAGCCGAAGGATCTATGTCCCAATCGGCCCTGTGCACAGAGACCTTGTTGCCCGTGAGCCAGGATAAAATGGGGTTGGAGGAAGGGAGGGCTTGAGCATGACATTCCGACTTGGCTGAGACAAGAAATGAGAAAACGTATGCAGAATATGGACGAATTGAACGTACTGTAGCATTTTCTAAGGTAACGGCTGAAGAGGGGGGTTATGACCTCTTGAAATCCTTCCCTCTCTGCCTGTCCAAAGTTCATACCCACTGGCCCTTTGATAGAGCCAGCATGCATGCTAAACAGAAGAAAGCCGAGAAATCAGCGCCCAGAACAAAGGCATTGAAAGCACGAACGTACCTGATTATGTTTAAACGACCTCCATCAGCAGGCTCAGGTCCACCCACAATTAAGGTGGCTTGCATGTTGGTGTGCGTGTGAATGAGATCCAAAATGGGCTGGGCAAAATTCGGAAGGGCCGCAATGCACCTGAAATTATCAGAAAAAGAGTGATGGCACGGCTTTAGGCCAGTGGCTCACCTTTGTCGATCCTCTGGGTCTGTGGACGGGGGCGCAGACAACTTATTCTTCCACTCATTCAACTTCTCGTCACCCTCTTTCTTGGCCATTTCGATGTACTTCTTACGCTCGTCCAAGGGCAACACGTCGAAAAGTGCCTTATTTATTCATGTGCACTCTGCAGCTTGCAGATCA